CTCGGATACGGATCCAGAACTGAATTCTTTCAAACAAAATGACCGCCAGTCGGCCATTTCAAACCCGATCCCCCAAAAAAAATGACGTGCATCAAGGTCCTATTATGTTTAATGTATGTACCAAATTTGAACAAAATCCGTCCATGCATAACTCAGATCCGGGTCCAGAATGGTGAAAATGTGTGATTTTGATGCATTTTCGGCCTTAAAATGGCCGCTATTCGGCTATCGTTAATCGGATCATGAAAAAAATGCATGTGCATATGTCCCATATAATGTGTGATGTATGAGTGAAGTTTGAACATAATCGGTCCATGCATGTTCGAGATACAGGTGATCACGGACGGACGCACGCACGGACGCACACAGGGCAAAACATAAGTCCTCGTTTTAAGGGGTGGGCTTATACTCAAGGACCACCTCAGAAAAAATAATTTGTTGGTGCGTTTAAAACTGTAACCATCTTCCCAGCCTCGAAACATTATCCAAATTACATTTTTCGATCACAGCGCCGTTCTCCGGGGAATATTACTTTTTTTTTGAGAAAACAAAAATGCGAAACGAGCTGTCATTGATTTCAATGACGCTTTTTACAATGAAGAAACAAATATGAACAAACAAAAATTTTATTACAATACGGTTCACATACCGTCTGAATTTACGGTGCAAAAATGGGCAGGGTCTGTGGGAAAACGGTCTAAGGCAAGATCGTACGCAAACTCTAGATACAAAGCTTCCATTTCCGCCATGGTTTCATCATAATTTGACCTGAAAAACTTCCTTTGACCTAACAGGTCACGTCTTTCGTTAACCAATGAAAATGCTCTGTCATACAGTTGAAGTTTTCCGATTATTGACGAAGTATTTTTTTCAACGCAATGCAGAAGTAGAAGTGTATTACCTCGATGTTAAAATGTGACCAGTTAACACTGATTTCTACAAAAAACGGTGCCTTTTTTCCCTGAAAGCTGTTGATTCACAATTTTCGAAAGGTAAACTGAGGGTGAGGGAAGTATTTAAACCTTTCACGGCCGCCAACAAGTCAGCCGAAGAATAGTTTGCTCATTCACACCCCATTCATGATAGTCTCAATGGACAAGATTATTCGGAAAAGTAAAACAATGATGGTGACCAGGTTTCACGACTTGACGATCACATTAGCCGTTTGTAAAACTACTACTCATAAGAAATATGGATTATTTCAGTATTGAAACATCAGGGTTCATCCCGAGTAAATAACAGAATAGAAAAGGTGCGAACTATGTATATTCGCCCGCTGTGCACTCTGAAAATAATGCGAGTTTTCTCGTAAAAGCTGGAACCAAACTACCGTACCAATCATGATTTTTATGCAATGAAATACACTTTTTACATGCAAATTTTAATAAATGGCGTCGACGCCCGGTAACACCCTGGGCCTATACTCGGGGATGCCCTCAACTCATTAAATGTTCAAAAATAGAGGGGTGAGCTTATACTCGGGGAGGGGCTTATACTCGGAGAAGTATGGTATATAAAATATTTACAACACAAATGCAAATGAGAACCATTTCACTAATCATCAACCAAAATTTTTAAACATTCACTCAACTTTTATTAAGTACAGTTAATTTCATGAAGGAATTAATGCTTTTTCATATGCATATTCATAAATGTTTTTTTTTAAATTTCAAATGACGGTTGAAAACAAATTGACCAATAACAGCGCTTGACAGTAAATTGGCTAATAATTGAATGTAACCCACAGACTCATTGTAATGAGCATTAGCAAATAGCTTCTATAGCCAATGGAAACATTCTATGGATCTGAAATTTCCATTTTTATGATTTTCCATTAAAAAAGCATTCATGCCTTTATGAAATTCTCTGTATTTGAATGAAAATAAAATAGCAATAACAACCATTCATATAAGAACAACATTTTTGATAATTCAGCTTCTGACACAGCAGTGAGATCCATAATTCAGTACGACATGCTTTTGTCACAGTGCATAGCCACATGCATGGTACAGTAAAAGTTGTATTAATGGTCGCATCCCGCCACACCCACTTTTTTCAAACAATTGAAAACCAAACATTCACTATTTCTCATATGTGTATTGCTTTAATATATCGGTAGGCTACATCCCTTCTGTTGCATTCTATTATAAATTTTACAGTAACAACATTTCTGTTGTTCTGATCTCTATTGAAGTTATGACCAGAACATAAGGTACTCACCAACAAATCCTACTCTAGCATCTCCAGTCTTGGCTACATCAAAACCTAATGAGACAATAACAATACAATGCAATGTCTGTGTAATATTATGATGTTATAAAACACTGAAGCAACTATATGCTATTTTAGTCAAATTAAATTTTAGAATTTTAATATAGCTAAAGTATTGTGAGAATTGATTTTTTGCTATTAGCTACACATGAAATTAGTAAAAATACAGTATAGGTAAAATGACATGTTTGTCAATGTCAATGATGCAAGGTTATTTTAGTTGGGCAATATGATTTACAGGAAACCCATGTGAGTTTTATGGTCGCAAATAACTACTTTCACCTTAACCCTTTTGAAATTGTGATTGAACATTGTGAACTTGTCATGTCTTGTAACACATGATTTGCTGAAAGCCTCCATAGACATACGTGTACCAAAATCAATGAAAAAAGAGGAGTTCAGTATCCCACTAC